TGCCTCTTACTGTGTGACATTGACCAAGTTAATCTCTTTGAACTCCAGGTGCTGCATTTGTAAAAATGTAGGCTATTTTTTAGGTAAATGGGATAGTATATACCAAGTCCTTAATCCTATGCTTGGAAACCCTAATGATAGTTACTAATTTCGCTGAGATCTTCTACCCCAAGTAAATGCTAAACATTTTGAAGCACACTTCTCTGTCCTCAAACTTCAAAATGCTCATGAATCACCTGGGGATGTAGTTTAAATAGGTTTTCTGACTCAGGAGACCTGGGGTGGGGCTCAAGAGTCTAGCAGGCAGGCCCAGAGCCAACATGAATAGCAATACCCTGAAGTGCTGTCTGCGTCAGCCAGCCGGACTTCTGAGACAGATTATTGTTGTTCAGTTCCCACATCTGACTCCCTCAGAGGCTTTTGGGACAAGATCAGTTACTCTCATGAAGCAGGAAAACTTGGCAAAGGGTCATAAGCATTCCAGTCAATAAGAAACACTGTTTTAAACAGATGCATCCAAACGGACCAGCCGGGCCATTCTCAATCTCTCACCAGGGCACCGAATCACTGGGGATGCACTAGTTAGAATACGGCTCCAGATATATTTAAGAAAGTTTCAAAATAACTGTGGCTTGAGTGAGGCAAAAAGAAACATATTTCTCTTATGGAAATACCAAGAAGACTCTGCTGGTGAAACTGTCAGGGGCCATCTCAGTGTTGGCCTGTTGTTAACACGGCCGTATCTAAGAGGAGTCCACAGGACAAGCCCAGAATGCACAGAAGGGAGCCCAGGTGTCTGCCTTTGAAGGCACGACCCTGAGACAGCCTGGCTCTCTTGCCTTTCACATTCCACTCACCAGCGCACGGTCTGTGGACACATCTATATGCTAGGGTGGTGGGGACATGTTGGTTGTATTCCCAATGACCATGCTTCCATCCAAAATCTGGGAGACCTCGCCATAGGGGAAAAGGCAAGAACAAACTTGAGTGACATCTACCTCTTTATCACATGGCATAAAAATAAGGACCCCCAATCTTAAAAGGAGGCATCAAACTGGGCCAGTCTGCCTTTCAGTTTCTGTGTGCATGTCACTCATCTTCCACCAATTCACATGGCCTTCTTAAATCTCCTTCTGTATCTCGTGTAGCTACCACATCTACACCAGGAAGCATTCACACTGCTCTGAAATTCATTCCCCAATAGGCAATTAAGGTCCATTGAAATTTAGAAGAGGGTTTTTTTGTTTGTTTGTTTGTTTGTTTTGGTACCTGGGCTTTAACTCAGGAGTGCTTAATTATGGAGCCACATCCCCAGCCCTTTTTATTTTTTATTATGAGACAGGGTCTCTAAGTTGCTTAGGGCCTTACTAAGTTTCTGAGGCTGGCCTCAAACCTGTTATCCTCCTGCTTTAGTCTTCCGAATCCCTGGCATTACAGGCAGGCACCACTGTGCCTGGCTTAGATTTTTTTTAAAGGAGGATAAATCCAAATCTTGGCAATGTTCATATTCACGTGATGATATTTGGGGGTATTTTTAATTTTAAAATAAATTTTCGTGTTTTTTTCAGGAAAACACATTATTTACATTGTTAGATGATAAAATGAGGGGAGGAGGGAGTGAAGCTGGAGGTGGGCTGGCAACTGTGCTCAGGAGGGCGACTGGAGGAGGCCCATGTGCTGCATGGGAACAGAAGAGACTGAGCTGAGCTGTGCCCGGGGCCAGGAGGAACTGCTGTTGGCCAGGGAGAGGGAGGTCCTAAGTCCTTTCTCTCTTGCACTGAAGTCTGGGCTCAGTTCACTCACAGAGACTGTTACACGGAGGGAGACACCTGCCCCAACATGACGTCAGAGCTGGCACCTGGTCGTGTGAAATGAAGTCAGTTATCATTTTAGTGTATTTCACTCTTAGCCTGATCTTTAGTGGTGCGATGAACAACTGTTTCTGTTTTAAAAGGAAAATCAAATCTTGGACATCCTTTGGTCAGTTACCTGTGGAGGTGGAAGAGGGCTCCCGGTGCTGCTGAATCCTAGTATCACTGACAGCCTCATGGGACTAAGGCCCACACTGGTGAGGACCATTCCCCGCTTCAGAAGACTGGGAGGTAGGGTCACAGCTGTGAGACTGGTCATCTTCCTGTTCCTGTCCAGAGCAGCAATTCTGACAGATGTGCCCCTGAAGAGGAGAGACTGGCAGGTCTCAGCTTATCACACAAGTTCTTCCTGAGGGGGAGGCACACAGAAAGGCTGGGAGTGCATCACGGGGACCAAGGACATGGTGTCCCCTAAGAATCCACCACCATCTCAGTCCTGGGCCCTGGGGACATTTTCCTTGAACATCTGGGGGAAAGGGAAGGAAAAGGAGTCAGAGATTGATTAAAATCCAAGATCCTTTTCTTTTTTTATCTCAGAGGGGGGTTCCTGTGGCAGCCTGGTCTATTCTGGGTAAGATATATATATATTTATTTATTTAGTATAGTATATATACTATAGTATATATGTAATATATATGTAGTGTATATATATATATATATATATATATATATACACACAAATATAGTGTGTGTGTGTATATGTATATATTTGGTTGTAGTTGGACATAATACCTTTATTTTACGTGGTGCTGAGGATCAAACCCAGTGCCTCACACATGCCAGGCAAATGCCCTACCGCTGAGCCACAACCCGAGCTCCTACTCTGGGTAAGTTTTACAGATACATTTTAGAATATCATTACTTATTAAACCGGCAGTGCAATTGCTTGAGTTTCCTAAGTATTTAAAAGACATTTGGACTATGTTTTTCTCTGAATTTAAAAGTTCAAGTTCAACATGAATGAATGCTTTCAAAACAGAGAGGAATGTTCTCCTGGGAGGAGAACCGTGTGGGGCAAGCGGCTGAAGTAGTGTTTGAGTACGGGACCAACAAAGGAGAACTCTGGGTGCTCCAGGTCTGGGATCGATGGAGGGAGGAGCCTGCCATGGTTTGAACTTGACCCTTAGTGACCCTTAAGGTCCACAAAGCTGTATTTCTGGGAGGCAGTGCTGAGGATGGAGCCCAGGGCCTCATACATGGTAGACAAGCACTCTGCCTCTAAGCCACATTCCCTAGTCCCAAAGTCATGTGTTAATGGAATTCGAGAGGAGATCAGGACATAAAAAGTCTGCCCTTATGAGTGGATTAATGCATTCAGGGATTAATGGATTGATCGGCCCTCATGGGGAGTGATTTTGCTAAAAAATCAAGCTCTGCCTCAGCCTCATTTAATACAGCATGTCGCCCTCACCAGATACTGGAGCCATGCTTTGGGAGTTCCCAGGCTCCAGAACCGACAGCCACGTAAACTGCTATTCTTTATAAGTTGCCTGGTCTCAGGTATTTATTATAGTAGCAGAAAATGGACTCAAAGCCAGGCGTGGTGGCACACACCTGTAATCCCAGCAGCTTGGCGAGAGGATCAAGAGTTCAAAGCCAGCCTCAGCAACAGCAAAGTGTTAGGCAACTTGGGGAGACCCTGTCTCTAAATTTTAAAAATACAAAAAAAAAAAAAGACTGGGGATGTGGCTCAGTGATTGCGTGCCCCAGAGTTTAATTCCTAACCCCCAGTCCCAAAAAGAAAATGGACTCAAGCAGAGCCCATTTTTTTCTGGTTCCCCAGGTGCAGACCCTGGTGGAGGTCGAAGGAATCATGGAATCAGAGGAATCAAGTTCCTCTGCTTCTCGGGTCCCTTGCTGGGCCTGAGAGCCTCCTGAGCCAATGCGTACTGCCTTGGCTATGTGTCCAAGGAGGTTCCTGGAGCCGCAGAGCCTGCACTAATTTAATCTGTCCTCTGTGCCCTGCAGGACCCTCAGTGCAGTTTGTCTTGCGCAGCGACAGTAAGGAACACCTGCCTTTGGATGCTGGCCTGGCTGGCACATACTGTGTGACTTAGCCAAATCACTTCATTCCTTCTTAGTGTCCTCACCTCTCAAAGGAGGGATTGGAGTAAACATCGACAGTCTCTTCCAATCCTAAACTTCGATTGTATTTTCCTCTTGAACAATTCCCAGAGCAAAACTTCTGTGGTCTCCAGGTTTATAAGCCCAGGTAGATTGTTTTAAAAATAATCTAGTCATACGTGCGTGGAAATGTGATTATGTATATATTATTCCTCGGTGTTTACTCCCAAATTAGCAGGAGAATGTCAAAGCCAGGACGAAAACAAATGGAGTGGGGCCGGGAAAGTGACAAGGTGGGTAAAGGGGTAGATCAGGTTGCATTTAGCTTGAAGTTCAGTGAGTGTGGTGAAATTCTGTCTGGTTTTCAGAATTTCTACCTGAGCGACAATGACTGGTTCTTGGGCATGATCCTCATTGAAGTTCACAGGTATTGAAAATTTAGAAAAGCTGGGTTTTAGATTAACCATGAGAAATGGAATGTGGTGCAAATGGAATGAGATGATTTCCCACATTTGGTGAACCTTCAGAGATTCACATCTGCCCCTTTGGGCAGCAGGCTGGGTGAGTGACATTCAGATCAGAGCCTCTCTGTTCCTAGTCCTCCCTGGGGCAGGGAAGAAGGTGAGCATCTCCTGGAACCACCAGGGCTTCACACGTGGAGCCTCCCTGGGGCAACAGTTTCCACAGATCATCATGCTTTTAAAAAAAAATAATAATAATAACAAGGCACAAGCCATAAAAATTTCCCAAGCATTCTTCCTCTCTGGAAAATGCTGATTTACTTGGAGAGGTGGCTTCCCTCCTCAGCATCAGGGCCAGTTACCCTTATGGTAGTAGAAGTGGAGCCACCACCCGAACAGGGACGGGAGGAGGAAGCACTGGGCACTGTGGCTTTTGTAGGCAGTTGGACCCTCAGGGAGCAGCCCCCGCCCGCTGCTGTCCTGGGATCACATACAATGGCTCTGCTCTGGCCAGCTGCATCCCCACCCAGGTTTCTTTCCTGTTTGGTTTCACTCTCGGTAATTGTGATAAAGAAAGGTACATTCAGAGGCTGCCTTCAGCAATTACACAGACTTCTTTATTAGACAAGGACCCTGGGCAACGCTCAGGCTGGGAGCTAGAGACAGATGGAAATGGGAGGCGGCACCTGGACACAACTGCAGCCCTTTGGCAAGACAAGCCACTCGCAGGAGCCTGCTCAGGGGACCAGGAGCAGGCGTGGTTATCCCAGCTGCACTGAGCACCACGGTGCAGCCTTCAGGGCACCCCCAGGACAGGCAGCCTGTGGGAACTGGCACAGCTGGAAATGGGTGGTGACTGACGCTGACCAAAGGCGTGTGTGGGGCTTGGACACAGGTGAGGACTGACGGGGCACAAGGCTGAAAAGTGTCTATCATGTGGCCATGTCATGGAAGAAGGGTCTACATCAAAAAGAAGAGCTTGGGAAACCTGTGCAGTCAACAGGGTGAGTCTGGTCTGACCCCAGGCAAGGGCCAATCAGGAGGGTGCCCAGAGAGGAGCAGGGCCAGAGGCTATGCACAGGCCTGAGTTTGGTCTACCAGTTCCCTCCTGTCACACCTTCTGCCCAACCCCTCACCCCTGCTCCTCTCAACTCCTCCCCTTCCTCCTTTCCCACAGCTCCACCCCCATAAAAGTAGGTCCTCTATCCTGTAGGGCGGAGCCTGAAAGGTGAGAAACAGACCTGCAAATCCAGGGGCAGGGACCGTACTGGCCTCATTTCCTTCCACCATCATGTCCCCTCCAACCTTCTTTATGGATGTTAGCCTAAGATCTTTCTTTCCCGAACCCCCTGTGCTTTCTTCTTGCTTAAAACCCGTTCCTCTATTCTGGACGCCAAGTGTTTCTGCCACACCCACGGGTGGACCTGTCCCTCCCTGAGCTGTCCTCCCCACGGGTTCTGGTCTCCAGCGATAGGAGAGCACTGGAGCAGCGTAGGAGTCAGCTCCTCACCCCCGAGTACTGGTGCCGAAACAGACCGGGAAGGCCCTGCTCCCTGCTCCCACCAAAGGGCTGCCAGGGTGGAGGAGGGGCTGGAGCTCAGGAAGGTGGCTGAGCGGGTCATGCCTTAAGGTGCCCCTCGGCTGGGCTGGGAAGAGATGAGTTTAGAACGGAGAGTGTCTGTGTCCCCAGAGGCAGAGTCCTGCCCCACACGGGACAGTGGGATGTCCTTGGAAAGGTTCTGGGCTTCAGGGATGACTGTGACCCCCTCAGGCCCTTCAGACACTGGGCAGATGGTCAGGGGCTTTTTCCCACAGGACCACAGGCAAAAGAAGGGCCTGAGGGGGCCAGAGAAGGAGATGCCAGGGAAGGTGTAGATGTGCGACCCGTCAGTCATGTTGTAGAAGGAGATGTCTCCCGATTCGTAGTCCAGGAAAATCCCAACCCGGCGAGGGGGGCCTGCTAATGGGAGAGGGGTCCGAAGAGGGGTGAGGGCCCAGTATCCATTCCCATAGAGCTCCACAGCCCAGAACCCGTTGTCAGGGGTCATGGGGTCAAACCCCTTCTTCATCACATTCTCCCTGCACACGCCGATGGCCCAGTCGGTCCTGTCCCCGACCTCCACCTCCCAGTAATGCCGCCCCTCGGTGAAGGCCTCTCGGCCCAGCACACATGGCCACGAGTCAAATCTCTCTGGATTCTCAGGCAGCTTCTGACGTGAATCCTCCAGTCGAACAGATTTTGCGTCTTCGTACAGAAAAAGGTGAGGGTGGGCTGTGTCTGGATCCAGAGTCACATCAACTAGAGAAGAGAGTGTGACGGTCAGTGGCAGTCAGTCACAGGACCTGTCCTCCCTCCTCCAAAGAAACAGCAGTGGGATAACTTGGTGGTCTCCTGTGCAGGTCTGGAGACCTGTCTGGCCTCCCAGGTGCCTGCTCCCTCTGATCAGCAGCCACAGTATGGTTAAGAGCTGACTGTCCCCAAGGAGACACTGTAGGAAGGGACTGGCATCCTAGCCATCTTCCAGGGTTCTGCTGGGGGCTCAAGGAAAGTGTCACGGCCATGTGCCATTGAGGTCCCCTTCCTAGCCTCCTCACTAAGTGAATGTTAATGTTAATGTTCTCAAGTCCACGTCTCACAGGACCCTGAATTCCTGGAGTGGGACCTGGAGAAGTCCTGAGTCACTGACCTGCATGCAATGCCGCCTTTTTCCAATCTGCAAAGAAAGAGAGACTATCAGCAACTGGTTTTGAACAAGAGCGAGAAAACTGGATGAAATCACAAGAGGCAGAACTTACTGAGCTCTTCCAGGAGTTTCTCTGGAAAACAAACAAAAGCACCTCAGTGGCTTTTTATAATGGACTTGAGGGAGGGGATGGGACTGGTACAGGGGACCCATAAAGAAGGAACTGTTTAACTTACAACCGACTACCTGACTACTGAAATACCACCGGCAACCCTACAACAGGGCTTTGTTCTGTTTTGTTTTCTGAGAAGTAATCAGGATGTTCCTACTGGCTTGAGATCAGATCTTCCATGATAAGATCCTTACTGGGAAATTGAGTTAGAGGTGGGGTTGGGCAGAGGAAGGGTGGTAAGTAAATTCAGGTCTCAAATGCCAGTTGGAACGGTTTGACTCTGCCTGTGACCCAAACTTCTCTTCATTGTAGGTATCTATGACTTCAGAAGCCTTAACATTTCTTCTGACTTTGGGAATTCTAGAATCGAGGGTCTTCCTGTTGGAAGTTGTCCTAATGGGTGGGCGTGGACCCAACCTTCCTCTGAAGCACCCCTGGCGAGCAGCCCATTTAGGATCTAGGACTTGCCTGTAGAGCTGGATTTGCTCCTCCTCTCTCTGGGTCTCTCCTGGTACAATCTCCAGATGAAAAATATGGATCCAGTGGTGAGCAGCCCTAAGACCACAAGGATGGCCGCCACAGACACCATCCAGGGAGTCAGCCTGGGGGAGATGGGAGCTGAAACAAAGTCCCCAGAGGAACATTGGCCGAAAGCAGAGCAGGTTCCACTCGTCTCCTGATGCCAGATGGAGGCGGAAGAGGAGACAGAGTGGGTCCCCTCTATCTCTGCCATGGCACAAACAACCCCTCCAACGCCTCTCTAAGCTTTTCAGGAAGTTTTGATCTTGGGCAAGAGAGAGCAGAGAAGGAGAAGAAGAACCGAGTCGTTTGGGGTCAGGACATGTGGGCTAAAGGGTTGTGTGGACCAAGCTGTGCTATTATAGAATTCCTACTTTACTGTCAATGCAGAGGGGGAGTCAAGGGGATGCGGGAGGGAAATAAGGAAGGAGAAGGGTCACTTCTGTGTGTGACAGAGTGAGACTCATTGGCTGAAAAGTAAGAAAGCGTTCCTGCCTGGGGCAGACCTGGCATCCAGGGACTAGTGGCAGGTTGTGCTTCTGAGGCCCCTGGAAGCCTTGAGGAGCCCTGGACGGGAGGGCAAGGGTGGAAAGGGTGAGACCAGAAAAGTAGTCTCCTTATTTACTCAAGGCGAGAATAAGGAAGGCCGCAGGCACGGAGCTTCTCCATCTCAAGTAGATCTCCCAAAATGGAAAGCCTGAGACTACATGAAAGACAGGTAGAATTTGTGACTTCTGAATTTTTATTCTTCTGAAGAGGCTGGTGGGGCTCCTTCGAGTCAGTGGGCAAACACTCAGATGGGAAAGTGGGCAGCTCCACCAGGAAGTCACATCGGGGCAGGTGCCAGGTCAGGGAGCCCCGAGGCTGTGTCCACACAGGAGTCAGCACTGGTTCTACTCACCTGGAATGGAAACCCCTACTTCCTTCTCCTGGCCAAGAAGGAGGTTCCGGATGCAGCAGGACACACTGTCCATGGAGCTGTCCCTGAGGGTCACTGAGGCTGCCACAGTGAACAGGCCTTCCTCGTCAGGACTCCTGGACTCTGACGTGGTCGGGAACTCCTCTCCCTTGGCAGATCTCCACTGCACCTGGGGCTCTGGATACCACCCCACGGAGGTGCACTCCAGCCGGACCTCGCCACTCTCCTGAACTTCCATGGTGATGTGAGGCTCGGAGCCCAGAGCTGAGGAGGGAGAAGCTGGCTTAATCTCTCAGTGGTGCCTTCTGCAGACTCACAATTCCAGTTTGAGAAAGAGAGAAAGAGGCCAAGTGGATTGGGAGTTCCTCTCCACATTTCACTACACCAGGAGACTGAGGTGTCAGTGAAAGGAATTTCATTCACCTTATCAGAGGAGGGTATCTTATTAGCATCTAGTTTTCGAAGTGTGAGCAGGAAGGAGCTCAATGGGCAGACCTGGGGGAGCTTTTCAGCCAGCAGGAACTGCCCCACAGGCAGCTTGGGCCTGGACTGGGAGCTCCAGATCTGCAAAAGAGCTCCTTGGTTAGCAGTATTACAAGAAGGGTCTGGGAAGAGAGAACTAGCACTGGAATATTTAAAGATGGATGAAAGTGGTGTTCTGCAGGAGAAAGGAGGCTCACAGTTGACTGTGGATCAAAGCTTAAGCTTCTTTACCCATGATGCTGATTCAGGAATTTTCTTAAATTGCTCCAACCTCACCTTTCCCCACAAAATTATGCCTTAACAAAAACCAACATAAAGCTGTTTTTCCTACCTCTCTAGCTTAATTCTTAAAAAAAAAAAAAAAAAAAAAAAAAAAAAAAAAAACAATTCCACAGGGTACAGAAAAAAACAGAGCTCCAAAGAAGTAACTTGAAATACATGTCCATGACTGTCTATATTCTGAATTTGTGTGTTTAGTAAGAATGTGTATTTTTGTCTTGAAAGGGACTACCACTAGTATCAGATCCTCACAGATATCTGACCCTTATAAAAGGTAACAACAGTTTTATGGCATCAAATATGTGGGCTTTGAGCACCATCCTTAAACTTTAAGATAGTCTTCCCTAAAAATGAAATGAGAGCTGGGTGTGGTGGCTCAAGCCTGTGATCCCATGGACTGGGGAGCCTGAGGCAGGAGGATTGCAAGTTCAAGGCCAGTCTCAACAAATAAAAATTTGAAAAGGGCTGGGGATGTGTTTAAGTGGCTTAGTGTCCCTAGTACAAAAAAAAAAAAAAAAGAGTTATACATGATACATATGAGAATATATTTGTGTATTACGCATTTAGATTAGTTCAAGACATGGTCATAATATCTTACGAGGATATCCTAATTTTGCTCTTATAATTGACAAAGCAGTTTTTCATGTGTTGTCTAATTTCATTTCATTCTTGCAAAATCATGTGGAATAAATGCTTCCTCAGTTTTACAGTAAATCAGGAAGATTTCCTTGATGCAATCACCACTGGTGAGTGGAAAGTCAGACCTCAGTGCTTACTGTCCTCCAGAAAGCTAACCACTCTCCTTGGTATTTCACCCAGAATTTGGGCTTGAAGAAAAAAAAAGAAAGAAAGAAACTTCTGCAGATATATGAAGAGTGTCAGCAAAAGGCCATGCTCGAGGATCTTAGGAAACCAGTCCTTGGAGACTAATCCACAAAGCAGCCTCAAGTATATGGGATGCTCACTGCAGCCTTAGATAATGATGAAAAATAGACACATCTTCAAAATCTGATTCTGGGAGCTGGTCGAGTAATGACGGTGTCCTCATATGACAGAATGCTATGGCCATTACACCCTGGGTGCTTAGCCTGTCGCTGAAGGAGGGGGCAGCAGGCGGCTGAATACAGGGGAGGGCATTCCGCTTGCTGTCCCCTACAGCTCATGCCCCCCCCCCCCCCCCCCGGCCTGCCGACCCCGCACCTGGAAGGAACCGCGTGGCTCCGAAGTAACCCGCTCCGCTTTAGGGAATCAGGCTCACCACGGGGGACCCGGGCCGTCACCCCGCTGCCTCTCACCTGCCACTCGGAGGTGCACTATGGCCTCGTCGTAGCTGGCGTTGTCCCTGAAAAAGCAGCGGTACTCGCCCTCGTCCGAGGCGCGGACGCCCCGGATCCGCAGGGCCGCGCGCCCCGCGGCGATGTCGTCGCGCCGCAGCGCCACCCTGCCGCGGTACTCTGGCATCAGCTCCTGGTCGGGCCGCAGCGCCACCCTGCCGCGGTACTCTGGCATCAGCTCCTGCTCCCGCTCCTGCGGCGCCTGGTACAGGAACACGGCGGGCGACGGCGTCCGTCGGAACCACCGCAGCTCCAGGTGCTCGGCGCTCACGTTGGGGGAGAGGTGACAGGGCAGCTCGGCGTCTGCTCCCACCATGGCCAGGATGGGCTCCGGGGGCCCCATCACTTCAAAGTGAGCTGTCAAAGCGAGCGGAGTCAGAGCGATGAGACTGGGGGCGACGCAGCCCAGGCTGCTGTTGAAGGTCAGGGGCCCTGCAGCGCCCCCATGCCCTCGACAAGCTGAGCAGGTCCATCCAGCCCGCTGGACATGGCTTGGGAGAACCAGATGGTGTCATGTACAGGTACTGGGACGTTCCAACCCTGCAGGACACAGAGCGAGGAGCAGGGAGACCTACCTGAATCCAGCTTGGGCAGCTGCAGGAGCACGAGGGTGAGCAGACACCCGGGGAGGCGGGATTTCCGGACCACTGCCATCGCTGACCTTTCTGCGGCTGCAGGGTGCTGATGCACTCATCCAGGAGCTTCGGCCTGGAGAAGAATGTTCAGGAAAAAACTGTGGGTGGGCAGACCCTGTGCTCCACAGCCCCCCACAAACCAAGGCTGGAGAGGTCGCAGCTGAAGCCCGCTGTGCCTCCTCTCGCCATCAGCACCTGCCTGCACACCTCCCTAAGCTTGGTCAAGCACCGCAGGGACAACAGTCTGGGTCCTGTGGTCCCCAGACTCACCTCGTATTAAGAAGGGACTTGTGATTCATAGAGCCCTTCAATAAGTTGAGTATAAAGGAACAAATCGTGGAACCACTGCATTAAGGAGAAAAGTCGTCTTCACAAAACGACAATTTGCTATTTGCTTTTAGAAATGATGATACAGATAAAGCCATGGAGACAAAGGAAATGGACTGGAGAACAAAGAAAAAGATGGGAGGAGATGGAGCAAGAAAGGGGTGATTCTTGAGGTGCCGAAGGCCTACGGCCAGGGACAGAGGAAGGAGCAGGAGGGAGAGAACTGTGCCCTCCCGGGCTCACACCAGGGGACACCTACCAACCCGATGATCCTGGAGGACAGGGCACAGGGAGCCACTGCTGCCAACTGAAGAAGCTGGTCATGGCCCCAGGTGCAAAAGTTAAAAGCCCTCGGCAGAAGGAAGGGGGCGGGCCCTCAGGAAGCCTGCTGCCAGCTGGCCTGCTGAATTTGCTTTGGAAAAAAAGGGTTTCCAGAGAGAGGGGAGCCATGGATCTGCCGCCTTTCCCTCAGTGAGCCGGATAGACATTGTTGAGTTGGACTCAATAAAGCGGGTGGAAGAAAAAGGAAGAGGGCCAAGGAAACATGAACAGAGACGTGAGACCTTCTCCAGCTAATCCTCCTCCTATGCCTAGTGGATTGTGTCCCCTGGCTGCTGGAGGCCTTCAGAGCACCTGAGAGTAAGCAGGCCAAGGGTTTAGCACACTATCCGGGCTCAGCACAAGGCAAACTGCTACCCTGTTATTATTCTGTGAGTTGATAAGTGAAGGGCAGAGGCCAAGGTGCTCGGCAGCCCTCTCCTTCCTGGGTGCCCACTGAACCCACTGGGCGGGTGGCACAACCCTGGGAGCCAACCTTGACGGTAGGCAGAAAGGTGCCAGCTGGGGAGGGGTCACTCAGTCCCCAGCTCAAAGTCACCTCCTGCCAAGGAGGGTTCCTGGAAACGATTTATGAGGCCAGCAAGCCCTTATTTTGGGCTAAACCTATTAATGTTATGGAAACATTGAAAAATATAGAAAAATGTTTTTATAAAGTGAAAATCACCCTCAATCCACAAACTAAAGATAGCTTTATGTTGGTGTATTTCCTTCCAGTATTTACTGTGTCCTTATAGAGATGGTAAAAATAATCAAAAAGGTTTTCTGCACAATTTGAAACATCATTAATAGTTGCATGATTGTCAAGATTGTTCTTTTTCTCCCATTAAAACAGTGTACTTTATACATAAGGCTTTGCTCACAGTGTTGTTAACTTCCTGATAAACCACCTGGTAAATTTCCAGAAATAGAGCCACTGGGTCACACAGTGTGGGTCTGTTGCCTAAAACCCTTCTAAAATGTGGAGCCATCATATCACACTTCAACAGAGTGTCCTCACCTGATCCCTGCCAGCGTCAAGGGCAGTTATCCCAGAGTCCCAACATGGGGATGGGCAATTTTATCAGATCATTATTTTGTTATGCTATGCCTTCATATGTAGTGAGGCTGGTCATTTTTCATGTGTTAACTTACCATTAAATATTTCCCAGAAATGAGCTTTTCAGGCCAGTTGCCCACTATTTTAAAGACTGGTCTTGGTGCTGTTTCTTACCAATCTGTGTAAACTGTTTAGAAATTAAAGATTACAACTCTGTATTTTGTTTATGATAGAAGTCCTTCCCAGTTTCATTGTTTGCCTTTTATTAGGGTTATGATTCAGACAAAAGGTGATTTCTTCAGTTTACCCACCACACTTCTAGGAGAATGAGGGTCCCAAACACAAATCTGTGTCACTTTTTGCTTGAAAATCCGGCACACATGAATGTCAATCAGAAAGGAAGTGCTCTTCTTATTCACATTTAGGGGAAATGGATATCATCATAAAATATTTGGGGTCTTTAAATCTGAATTCATGCATGTATTATCAATTTTGGTCAATTTATGTTTAAGAATAATTTGTATGCTGGGTGTGGTGGTGCACACCTGTAACCCTAGACAGTTGGAGGGATTATAGTCAGGAGGCTGAGGCAGGAGGATCACAAGTTTGATGCCAATCTCAGCAACTTAGCAATGGCGAAAGCAACTTACGAAGACCCTGTCTCAAAATAAAAATAAAAAGGTCTGGAGATGTGACTCAGTGGTTAAGTATACCTTGGTTCAATTCTGGTACCAAAAAAAAAAAAAAAAAAAAGACCAAATCCAAAACAAAACAATAAAACTCTCTGTTTCCCTTGACCAGCAGAATCACAGTCCCTTGGGGGGCTCAGGATATAGCTCGTTGTAGAGTGCTTGCCTTATGCACAAGGCCCCAGTCCCCAGCACCACACACACACACACACACACACACACACACAAAAGCCTCTGGGACAGGACTCCCCTGTGCTTCTCCTTTGTTAGCAAAACAATAAAACTTTTTCCTTTTTCTCAAAACCTTGTTCTCATTACTGAATTGGTGTCAGGGACAAGGACCAAGCTTTCAGTGACATTTCTGTACCCTGTGTTGGATTATGATTTTGTTGTCTCATACCATAGTGATGCATCACAACTTTAGTTCAGTTTTCCCAAGACTGTGCTTATGTGGCTGTGACTTTTTCCACATGTTTATCGGTGCACTCTACCTGCACATGTTCCTACAGGCACACAGTAGAGCAATGTGCTTGGGCCAATACCACTCCCCGGGGTTTCTCCTTGCCCTCCCCTCCTCCTGTCCCCTTGTCCCTTCGCTCTGCTGCTCTCCCTCCAGTTTTCTGGGGACACCCTCCAACACCTTTCATTCCCTTTTCCCTCTCTATGTGGCTATAATTTACAAAGCCAAGGATCATGTACAACTGCATTTATTTTCATTTACTGCCTCTTGTGTTTTTTAGTGGGAGAGTGTGGGGGAATTAAATAGCTCATTTTTTCTTTATTTGTATTTATTCTCATCACAGATTTTTCTCACCCCTCAAACAGCCTCCTAATACGCTCTCCATTGTCCAACATAAGATAATCATCAGTGCCCCTGTGGCAGCCACCCATGAAGCTACTTAAGTGGTCTTTTAGTGGGTACCCAGCCATGGGGGACTTAGGTCCTTCCTTGGGAAGGATCCGGGCTTTCAGACTGCCCACGGTGTGGCATCTCTGCCCTCGCCCTACTAGTGGGACAGCTCTCCTAGCTCCACAGTTTGGCATAACCCATTGGGAACTGAACAGCTCTTATTTGGCAAAGAACAGTCCATGAAAAACCTTTCATGTTCCCCAAAGTAAATAAGGCAAGCGTGGGCTCCATCCCTCTCTCTGCAGTGGGAGCTGATCCCTCGGGTCAGAGAGCCGTCCCGCCCTCACTGTTTGGTTCACTGTTTTGTCTTTTGGCTTTTCTTCCACAGCCAGCCCACTCCAGGGAGAGGATCCCCCAATTCCACCGCCTGCCTGATGGGGGACGTGGGCGGGACGTCCCTCCTCCCAGAGCAGCATTTGAGTCTTATTTCAATCAGATTCTGAGTTAGTGGTTCCAGGGACCTGGATGGTCCCTGCTGGACCACAGTCTGCAGCAGTTTTCCATTCCTCCTGTTTGTGCTGGGGACTGACCCCAGGGCTTGGGCACACCAAGCACTGGCTCTCCTGCTGAGCAACGCTCCAGCCCTCGGCAGCTTTCTGTCTTGCTCCTTATTCAGAAGCCTCAGGTGAAGAGGTGGCTGCAGGCTCTGCTCTGGGCGGGAGGCCTCTGAGCAGTGGCTCTGGCCCAGGGGCTTGTTTTGCATGGGGCCAAGTGGGGCCTAGAGGGAGGACTGGAGTGAATGGGCACCAGGTACACTAGGCATTTGTGGCCTGTGGTGAGCTTTGGGGTTTGAGGCTCTTTCTTGAGGGCAAATGCAATTGACATCATCATCATCATCATCATAATCAGATAGGATGTAATGACATTTTGACACTATGATACTGAAGTCATCCCCCACACACACACCAAGCCCATGTTAGATTATGCACTTGGCGGTCAGTGGACTGTGCATGTGGAAAGGTGGGTGGGAAGGTGAGGGTGGTGGAAGAGGGGCAGGTGGGGATGAGGAGAGGTCTAACGTCCCTGGGCAGCAGGAGGCTGAGAGCTGAGTCATATTTCTGGAAACACTTTTGAAATGGAGAGTTCCTAGAGCACCAGGAGGGGAGGCGGGAGACTTAGGGGAGCCATGAAGTGAGGTTGGTGAGCAAGGTGGAAACGGGGGCACTCTGGGAGGAAGAGGGCGGTGGCGACCACTCGGAGTTCTGCCCAGGATTTACCCACTGGGGCCCCTCAGCTACCTTCTGTCCCTGTTTGTCGACACTTTTCTCTCTTCCTGTGACTTGTGAAACCCATCCAAGCTGGGGTGCCTTCTCCCTCTGGAGGACAGGCTCCAGGTAATGAGGACAGGCAGGATCTGGGCATTTGAGAAGCAGCCTGCAAACTCCTTATGGGCCGACAGGACCCTGCCTCCTCCTCATCACAGCTGCCACTGCGTTTCCGTGGCCTGTCTGTCGTCGTTTGGCTTCCCCTAAAAGTAGGCCCTGAGACAAAGATTCGGGTGCAATTAATTGGGGGGTGATCACCCAGAACACTGTGAGGAACTGAAGGAATGGGTTGAGAAACTGCTGTGTCTCCATTTTTGAGAAATCAGCCTCTACCTCAGAGCAAAGCCTGTCCAAGGAAGGGAGTGGAAAAACCCACAGAGCACTCCTAGGCACATTCCCACCCTGCTGAGTTGTTTATCTACAAATAACAGGAGAGATCTGCTGCACCAGGTGTCCCTGGATCAGTCA